CAGTACCTCTAAGTATATCATTTTTTGCAGCACTTTCTGACCTGTTGTTGTCATCCGTTAACTCAAAATTCATTCCATTTGTATTCTGATTCGTCAGCTAAAAGCTTAAAATTCACTCGCTTGATTGTTGTTTTTTTTTTTTTTAGCATGATGGAACATCCTTGTTCAACTTTGTTTCTGGCTACCCATCATGGCATAAATATTTACAAAGCATGGCGAAAGACGGTACCTGGGGTGATCACGTGGTTCTGTTTGCTGCAGCAAATCACTTTGAAACTGCCATCCGTATTATCAGCAGCCTTGATCGTGAAATAGTTGTCCATCCAGAACACGCAGTTGCTGAGCCAACCCCCCTTGTGTTGGGACACATTCATGAGTTACACTATGTTAGCCTTCAGCCTAGAAAAGGTACAGTACTACCGGTAGTTTCTTCCCTGTCACAATCAGCAAGGTTTGTTTTACTGGTGGAAAATGTGCTGCACTTATCAGCCCTGCACTGCGGTGTGGTGTTTGTGTTCAACAGAAGTGGTAGTTGGTAACTGCCTTTGCATGAATTCTCTTTCTACAAATCATCCTAGTGAGTTTCTTAATAGTGTTAATTGCTTTTGTTAATGCGGAGAAAATTAATTCCTTCTGAATTTTTAATAGCCTTTCCTCGCTTCAAATATCATAGTTATACTCATTGGAGTAGATCCTATTCAGCAGAATATTTTTCAGATTTTCAGACACAACAAAGTGTGACCTGTTTAGCTTAATGGTTGTGTTGAGAAGAAGTGAGCGTGATGTCGAACAGGCGAATTTGAAGCAGTTCACGGTAAAATATCCACGCTTTATACTGGGTGACTGGAATCGTAAGCTAATATTGGCTTTGCGATTTTACACCAAGAGGTGATTATTATAATAAGAAAGAGTTTATTCATGGTGTCTTACCCTTTGTAAATTACCAGTTTTAAGACGCTCGGCCCCTCGATCTTTCTCGAGTTTTGCGTACCAAATGCTGCAAATAACGGTAAAGGGAACGAAAAGGTATTCAAAGATTTTTAAAAGAGATTCTATTTCCAGGAGTGGCGGACTGAAATGTCCATTACTCATCAGAAAGTGTCCAAGAATAGTTTTTTTCTTTGTGAAATTTAGCGCTTTCCGTTCAGAATAGTCGCATGTCACTTTCACAACTCCATTTCTATGGACATAGGCACTTTCATGATTTGCAGTTTTGTTACTGTATTATTGCTAGGTAATCATTATTAAGTTATCTAAGATTGTGTCAGTTGTCAAAGGTTCGTTATTGACCTTCTAACCATACTGTTAACAGTACAAAATAAAAAGACAGTGGTAGAGAATGCTTTTTTTATCGACTGACGGACGGTTCTCCCACCTCAGTGAATATAACTGTGAGGATCATGTATCCTTTGTTCTAATGGCCGTTGTTTACTATTTTTTATTTTGCCAGATGAGTGTTTATTTCAAAGGAATACGAGGGGTAATGAAGGGTACATGATGGAGAACGACGAAATCAGAGCAAAACTAAGGAGAAGCATGGAAGATCTTAAGGCTTTTAGATCTACAGGTACGAGTTCATGATATGCATCTAGCGACCACCCTTCTATTGTCAAATCCCCTCCCCCACCCCCCCCCCAAAAAAGGGAGAATTGTACGATTTCAAATCCGCGATAGATACCCTTTTAAGAGTACCAATCTCGTCTCCACAGGCTGTGTTGCTACCGAGGCAGGTAGACCTCGAATTCAAAGGTTCGCGTGACAGTTGATTTTGGCGCTAGACGTAACGATTTAGGTGACTTGGCTTTGTTTGTCAAGCCAACAAGATGAACTCTTGTGTTTACATTCCTTTCTCACTGCTGACGTCGTTGTTTGCGCCTCAGAGTTATGCAACACAAGTATGCTGCAACTGAAAGAACTCTTACTGATTCGGACTTTCTGCAAACAAAAGTTTGACTTGGCCTATGAAATGCTCAGGAATGTGACCACATTCGAAGTTAGGTGACTATAAAGTAATGTCAGGTCTATATCCCGCTAATTCCAGTGCTGCAGTGAAATCGAGGTCAGGATACTTCTATTCGGTGGTGGAAGCGGAGACGTAAAACAATGAATCACGAATCTTGGGAAAAAAGATGTGAATAAATCATGAATCATTGGGTAAAAAAGGCAGGAATCATAAATAGCGAAAGACAAATGATTCCCCTTCCACCTCCAAATTTTCATGCGTTTTTTAATAGAATCGCAAAGTACTTCTCAAAGTATGTCATATTTCCCTAATCATGCACCCTCCATAATATACCAACTAACAGATCAAGTACTTGATAACGTTTAAGCAGCGTGTATGAACATTCATTTTTTTAGATTTGTCATTTCCAAACGACATTTTTGAGAGGATCCGTCAGCTGTATAGAACTCGTGAACAACGCCTTCTGCCTGTCCCTTGGTGTGAAGATTTCAGCTTTCATTTGAATGATATTTTTACAAGATTAAAAATCTCAGGCAA